CACCAAGACTGGGCACTTCCTGCTTCGGGGCAAAGCAGATCCTCCGAGCTGTGGCGGTCGTGGCTGCCACGATGCAGAGGAGGCTGAGGATAAAAGCGCAAATCCGCACTGCGTTGATCACGTAGTCTGGCCAGGCGAAGAAGTTCCAGCGCGTGGCCTCGTCCTGCTTCAGCTGACACCCACTACATCTAAAGACCTAATGCCGTGAAGTTCGCTTCAGTGGCAAACTTATGGCACGAACACGTCAGATCTCAGAAAGGGGGCATCGGACACTAAACTCACTGTTTGCGGGGTGCTTAACTGGCGAACCTTCAGCTTCTCTGCATCCGCCAACTCTGCGACCATGCCAAGCAATGCCCAGCAGGCCACAAGTGCTATGATAGGATCTGCCTTCCTGCGCCATTGCTGGGGCAGCAGTTTCAATCGATTAGCTTCTTTCCCAATCTTTGTTGGTAGAAAATTTCACAAAAAAAATAAAAATCTGCTGAACAATGATGCAAAGTCGGGCTGGCGAAGGTAAACACAGTGACGACTGCCGCAATGCCCGCAAAACAAACCATGGCCAGCGCCAACATCACGTCAGGGCCAGCTTTGTAAAAGTCGGCCACCGCACCAATGTTCCTGGGCTTCGTGTTAATTATCGTTAATCCCACACTATGGAGACAAAATGTAGGAAATGACGGGCTTCCCTTATAAGCTTCACTCAGTTAAGCTCCTAGACATCATAGGGTCCCGTACCACGCCCGTCCAAACAAGCGCTGTTCAAGCCTTATTTGGGGTCTATTTTGTGGAGGTCAGGTAAGGTGGGAGGGGAGTATAGGATCCTAGAACCACGACTGCCCAGGCTCAAAGAAGTGGCCGCAACAATCCAGCCGCAGTGCAGCGAGAATGGCGCCCTGAGCAGCCAGTAGTCGCAGGTGGAGATCTTTTCCAGGAAATCTAGGCCTGAACGGCAGTTTAAAGGACACCAAAATTTATGTGGGAATAGGTTTCCTTATGCACGAATAGGCGAAATTTATTATTGTCCCAGAGTGCCGCCTAGTGTCGCAAAATGCCTACCATGAGGCAAATGAAGATGCCCAACATGCAAGCCATTGCCCCAATCATGACCTCCTGCGCGAAGAAGAGAGTCCATGCGCACTGGAAAATGCATGCGCCAATCCACCAGGGAGTAATAGTCGTAACGATTGGGTTGGCGCGATACGATGGGAACATCTGCGCCACAGCGAACACCCCCTCCCAAATGAAGATGGGCCCCCAAATCGAGAAGGCGAAGCCTCAGCAAAAGCAATCCCGAGAACCTGTGGATTATGCTTTTTGCAAGAAAAGGCCCGGGCCTGATGGCGTGAGGAGGGTATGGTACTTGGCACTGAGGTTGCTGTTGGTGGGCCCAAAAGCACCAGTCAAAGAGCCGTAAGTGATGGCCAAGTTCACCTTGGCATTTCAACCATACTTGCTTAAAACTGAGTTTTCTTGCATTTGCCAAGTTGAGCTGCGGCGCAAGGTAAGCTGCCAGGTTCAGTACGTTGAGCAAGCATCCGCCATTTGCATCCTTTCCCATCCTGCTCGCAACAACAAATGCGCGGCTGCGTGACCAACCACTAGCTACTCTTGAAGCCTAACGCTGCGGCAATGTTTGTATGTGGCAGTCGGAGGTGCCAGCCGTACTTGCAGAGGCAAAGAGCATCATCATTGCTGTCACTTCCTTTGACTTGCTTTAGCGACATCCTTGAGGGGACATCTGTTCTAGGTCAACTGCAGTTGGACTACCTGATATGAGTCTTTTCCCCAATACATATCCCCACCCCCCTTAATTATATCGCCCCCATATATTCCCATTAGAGCCAACCCTGGTCTGCACCTTTCTTTGAGGCCCTGGATGTACAGCCTGGGAACCTGCGTTCGGCTACAGGACGGTACACATTCTTCGAGTCGGTGCCAGTCAGGTGTAGCAAAGCAGTACCACATGTTCAGATGCTCGCTAACGCAAACGAAGCAATGAGAGCATTCTCATTCAGAACGAAACTGGCCCATTACGCAGGGAAAAGTGAGATGCAGACAGTCTAGCGCCTGAGCTAACATGCCCTCCTCTATGCTATCGCCCCCAGTTTCGCTCAACATAACCCCCATGTTACCCCAATATCACCCCTGTATAGTAACCCTTGCATTGTAACTCCCAATTACCTTTCTTTAGGGTGAATCAAGGGCTCCGCGACCTCCACTCCAGGCCGTCTGCAGAGGTAGCAAGGTGTACAGCGTGGCCGCGTCCTGGCAGCGACTTAAAAAGACAAGCTGATGCCAGGGTTCTATCAAATGAGAATAATTCCGGAGGCCCTAAGGATGCGTGGAGATTACAATGGCTACACGGGTCCCAATTATGTAGGCTGCTTCGGGATTGGAATCGTTTTGACAAATACCCATCTGAGGAGAAAGTTTAGGATCTGGGGCTTTGCAAATTGAGAGGCCGGGGGTCGCAGTTTATGGGTGCTGGCGCGAGCTTCAGTAGAGACTTAGGAATGATGGTTCAGAAGCAGGCCCATGAAACCACAAGCATGTATGATGCAAGCTGTCCAATCTAGGGTAAGAGAGGAACCTTGCAGGATCCGTATGCTAAATAGGCTCCGGCACAAGCCACAATTCGCTAATGCTGTGTTACCTCCTAATCTTCCCCTAGATAGTTAAAAGATTTCCTCAGATGGAAAGATGAGCGCTGTGACCCCTACCCGCTATTGCCACAAGCTTTGAGGTACATGATTTGAGCTAAATTGTCAGGAAGACTGTAGCTCGAGATTGGGAGCGCCTACCAAAAGACTGTCCTGGTAGAACGAACACCTCAAGCAAATTATAATGCAGGCAGGGGTGCCATCCGAAGGGAATGCAGGCTTTTGCGTAGGGCCTCGTTACTCAGAACTTGCACTGATGTACATGAATGCATCACAACAAATGACCGCCTCTCAGCGTGCCCCTTAAAGGATTTGGGGGCTGAATGTAGACAAAACAGCAAAAC